TTATGAAAATGTTAAAGATTACAAAGGGGGTTACATCTGAATATTTTCACACAAACCCACATACAGATTTAATTGATTTATTTTTCAAATTGCATTGACTGCTCTAAAATATGAGACACCAATGTTTCAGTAGTTCAGGACACAGAATAGGACACGTTTATAGGATAACTGTTTTATTTCTTATTTGGGTTTATGTCGTTTTTATACAGAGTTGTGAAAGTGCTTTTTTTTTTTTTTTTTTTTTTAAAGATGAACGACTTTTAACTTGGAAGTACTTTCCATGGTAGTCACAGAGAAATGGAGCATAATGGTCAAAGACTTACATGTGTACATAGACCAAAAAAATAATAAATTGGGATGAACAATCCCCTCAGACCCATAAATAAATATATATATATATATATATATGTATGTACACACACACACACACACTTCTTAAAATGACAATAAAGAATTTGTAATTTATAATTGTTTTATAGAATGTGAAAACTCACAATAGGATCTAACCTACACCAAACCTAAACCTACCTGTCACAGAAACCTAACTTAATTTTAACATTCTTATATGTATATAAGAATGGTAAAACATTCTTATATTAATATAAGGATGTTATATAAAAGAGTATATAAAAATGTTTTGTGTGACGGGTAGGTTTAGGGTTGGTGTAGGTTTGGACGATAGTATATTTAGTAATTTTATAATCTTAAAGGGGTCATATGATGCGATTTCAATTTTTCCTTCCTCTTTGGAGTGTTACGAGCTCTTGGTGCATAAAGAAGATCTGTAAAGTTGCAAAGACTAAAGTCTCAAATCCAAAGAGATATTCTTTATAAAAGTTAAGAGTTAACCACGCCTACCTAAAACGGCTCGTTCTAACACGCCCCCACATGTCTACGTCACGATGTGGGAAGATTTGCATAACACCGCCCAAATGTTCACGCAAAGAAAGAAAGCATAACTTTTATTCTCGCTGTAGTATTGTTGACACTGCAGCCATGTCGTGAAGACGCTGTGTGCTTCGTTGTGAAAGCGAAACTACTTTGTTTGGTCTTCCAAAAGAGGACACGACTAGAAATCAGTGGTTAAGTTGTATTTACAACAACGTTCCAGAACAGTTCAACCCAAATATTCAGATGTGTGCAGCACATTTTATGGAGGACTGTTTCCTGATCCTGGGAGAGTAGACTACAATGCCGGCTGTTCTGACTCACAGACTGTAAGTAAGTTTTTTATATTTAAAGACGACGCGTTTCAGAAAGGCGGGGCATAGAGGAGAAACAATAAATGTACAGATGTGGAAAATAATGTTTTTTTTTTTTTACTTTAAACCGCATAAACACATTTCATTACACCAAATACACAAAATAATGTTCTTTTTAGCAGCATCATATGACCCCTTTAAAAGATAATGTCTTTGTGGGGGCTGATTTAAGGACCCCACAAAGTCAAACTTTACTTATTTTACTATCTTTGTGTGGTCTTTTGGTCCTCACATAGTAAAACACACACACACACACACACACACACAATATTCAAGAAGCTGCTTTATTGTTGAAAGTCTGAAGATCA